AAAGATGTTGCAGGAGATGCAGTGGCATCATTCGGAGCAGAAGTCGACCCTCACGACTGCAAAATGTTCATCTTCACACCTGCAGCCACGGCCCGTGCTGAAATGTAGATTATCGTATCCATCAACTGCCTCAAATATAGGAAGGATAGCAAACTCATAAGTTATCCTTCTCCCACGATTCAGGTATAATAATTGGGTTAGCCTCATTCTGATGCATTGCAGCTATTCTGTGCAAGTTGTATGGTTTCTGAGGTTCAGCTTTGTAAAAATACTAAACTATGTGAAATTGGGTACTGAGATGAAATGCAAGGGAAAGGGATTCTATTCTTGTAAAGTACTTGTTTGTGTGCTCAATGTTGTTATTTTTCTATAATTTGTTCTAACAATCGAGCCGAAACTATACATTGATGTGATGTTTGTCACATACGCGTTGATGCTTAAGTCAGAGATCAAAGAAAAGGGCATACAAGCTTGGGTGAGAAAGAGGACTCGAGCCTTCTTTTTCTGTTCGAGATTTACTTGTGGTTTCCAATTTTTCCCTTTGGATTGGTTTGAACGAGATTTAGTTGGAGTCACAAAGTTGTCTCGAGTTAGGAGAGTCCTTCAGGTCACCTTAGCCTCGCCCTAGTCAACCATGGTCATGGTGGCCATATGGGTTTTTAGCCTCCGAAATAAGCTTTCAAGTGATGGCCGATTTGGGGCCTATTTTGGGCATGATCTCGCTTCGACTTCACGAATCTAATATATCAATGAATGATGAGACAAACTTTCCGCAATTATTTGGCAATTAAAAATGAGATATATGGTAAATTTAAAAATCTTTTTAACACAATTTTTAATGAAAATAATTAATTTTTGAAGTCTATGGACAAAAATAAATAATTTTAAAGTATAAATATTAAAATAAATAAAAATTGGTTATAAAGAAATAAATTCCGTATAAAATCCATGAAAATGCAGAATCTAACGACTTCCCGCCATGTTAACTGTGATGCTGAATACCCTATCTCCTTCCCCATTTCTTCGCAGCCAACAAACAATTTCCCATTGCTTCTCCTCTTCAACGATTCATCTCTTCCAATTTTCACAGTCGCAGAAAAAACCCCTCAACAATTGCCTCCCAAACAATCGCACCGAAAGGGGCATAGAATTCGACATTGGAGACACCTTCTTCCGCCATGAAAGCGCCACCGGACGCGACTTGGGCGTCCTCGCGGCGGCGCTTTACCGTAAATCCAAGGGAAGTCTTCGGGTTCTCGACGCATTGTGCGGTTGCGGGATTCGGTCGCTTCGGTACTTGGTCGAGGCTGAGGCTGATTTTGTGTTGGCGAATGACGCCAATGACGAAAATCGGGGGGTTATAGTAAAGAATCTATCGAGGGTTGCGGAAGGTTTTGGGGAGACTCGGCGGTGGATGGTTACCAATTGTGATGCGAACAGGGTTATGTCGGAGTTCTATTTGCAAAAGGATTTCTTTGATTTTATTGATGTTGATTCCTTTGGGAGTGATTCGACGTTTTTGAGGCCAGCTATTAATGCGTTGAAATTGGATGGATTGCTCTATGTTACGTCGACGGATGGTTTCTCTTCCGGCGGCCATCACCCTTCTCAGTGAGTGCACAATCTTATCTGTTACAATTTGTATTCCATTACTTGTTTGCATTAACCGCTTCATTGAAAATCTTGATATGAAATGTAACCGCTAAAATCTTGATCAATGTAAGGGCTTTTATCTATATATAACTGATTGAATATATAACATTATTTTAGTATGAAGTTTTAGTAGTTCCATATGGTATTACCTCTCAATTAATATTTCTATATCTCTTATTGAGTCTTAAAGCCGACGTATTGGTTTAAGAAAATTTTAAAACTGAAGATAGAGCCGAATTTTTAAAAAGCTTAACTGACAAAACCAGCCAAAATTGAAAAGGCATACCAAGACTAACAGAATTGATCCTAACCATTCCGAATGTTGTTTTTTTTGGTTTTGACTTGTACCCTTGTGCTAAGTTTTAAGTCTACAAGCGAAATGAGTGCTAAGTAGTAGTTTGAATATTGGAGGGTAATTATATGAATGTGTATGCTATACTATGGCTGGTGTGGTAATTAAAAATTCCTTTTTCCTTTCTCTTGTTTTTTTTTTTTTTTTTTTTTTTTTTTTTTTTTTTTTTTTTTTTTTTTTTTTTTTCTCTCTTTCTAGATCTTTAGCTGCATATGGAGCATATGTACGTCCCATGCCATTTTCAAATGAAATTGGTTTGCGAATGCTTATAGGTGGGGTTGCACGTGAAGCTTCTGTACTGGGTTTCTATGTAACGCCACTCTTTTCGTATTATTCATACCATGGACCTGTTTTTAGAGTTATGCTTCGAATCAGTCGAGGGAGGATCAATAAAAACAGGTGATAGTTGACGAGTTTAGAATGTCTGCTAGTGCTGGATGTATCTTGTATGATAATTGATGATGCTTGATTCATGCTCCCACTATTTATGTCAGGCATTATGGTTTCGTCAGCTATTGCAAAAAATGTGGAAATTCACAAGGTTTTTCATGGAGTGAGGTTGGACAGATGAGTTGTCCTTGCAATGATACAAGAGTAAGACTGACTATGACTGGCATTCTGCTACTCTTTTGAGCTTAAGCATCCACTGGTTTCAGCAGCTTCCATATTTTAAACTGATACCGAAAGTTCCTCATATAATTTGCATGGTCCATATAGCCATGGCTTCAAGTTGAATATGCTTGAATTTGTTGTTTGCTTATTCGTTGGGTGCTTTCTTTTTAATGTAAATACTTGCAACATTTAATCTTGTAGTTAAAAAAATTTCCATGTTAGGTTTCCGAGTCACTTGTGGTCTCGGGACCTCTTTGGACTGGGCCTCTACACAGTGCAGACTACATTGAAGACATGTTAACCTTAGCTATGCAGTGGGAATGGATAGGCAATGGCCAGGGGAAGGATCTTGAGAAACTTCTGGGGCAAATGGTGGATGAGAGTGACTCCAAACTACCAGTAGGGTATATCAAAATGGACGAGGTGTTTATTTTCTCATGGTTTAATATTTCATTTCTGTTTCTGGACCAACAATGTAAGACGTGATGTATCAACCTCCCATGCTTAGGTGGCAAGTCGGGCAAAAGTAAATTCGCCTCCCCTCAATACCATGATGAGCGAGATGATCAAGGTGAGAGTATAGGTAGTTAAGATTTGATAAATTTTGTGATGCATGTTATTGCCCACGCGGCTAAACTGTTTTTGTTGTCATGAGATTCTACTACATTCTGGAAATCAAAGAAATGTTGGCATAGACATGACGGGTTATTTTCTATGAGTATAGGTCATAAATGTGGCCTGCATACGTTTACTTAAATTTATATATTTTAAGACTATCATTTTTATACAAGACAATTTAAAGTCTGTATGTTGTGGACAGTTTCCCAAACTAGAGTGTTTGCGTTTCATAACTAGAGAACAGGATTTTGCGCGGAATGTAGATGCGTGAAGAGAAAAAAAGTTCTCTCTTTTCTTTTTATCTCTCTCTGAGGATTTTTGGTGTTGCAGGCTGGATATGCTGCTAGTAGGTCTCATATTGCCTCAAACGCAATCAAGACGAACTGTCCTATGGCAGAGTGCATCAGAATTGCTCTTGAACTGCAGCAGAGTTGTCTTGGTGTGCATCAAGTCACATGAATATTGTAGCGAGTGCTTGCAGCTATGGAAAGTACAGCACTTTCACAGGAAAACTAGAGCGAAACCAAAGCGGTGTAAGCATCCATCTTTCTCTATTCTCAGTTTGAAAATTGATGAAGATAATTATGGGTCACATGCATTAACCGTGGAAATGTGCTCAATAAACATGTGAATTATTTAGAAAGAAAAAGTTAAGTTACAGTCTTTTATACTTCATATTTGCATTTTGTCAGCTTTAAAGACATTTAAAGTACTTTCAGTCTGTTGTTTCCTCACAGATCTTTCATTTTGTTCTTATTATGCGCTCGTTTATATTATGCCTGTATCTTTCTGCATGAGCATGAATTTTTTTCCACAATTACTTGAGTTCCCTTTTGCAAATTTGATGACTACTTTTAAATTTGGCAAATGTTGTAATATTTTACATTATGTTAGGTATTTTCCTGTGAAGCATTATTAAAAATAATGTTCTTACCCGATATCATTGAATTACAAACAAATGCTGTGGAAAAAAATTGACAGGGCTTTAGATTAAGATGCTGCTGAGGGATGGTTTTTGGGTAAAATTGGTAAGTATTTTGGAAAATTTATTACATTGATCTGTAGAACTTAGTACGTTAATTTGTAGAACATTTGAACGAAAGCTTAATAGTATAAATTTTCTGTTGATACTAAGAAAGAGATTCAATAGTATAACTGATAGGTTCTAGATAGGAACACCCTTCAATAATACTTCACAACATATTTTATTATCCCTCAGAAGTCACTTATAAAGAGAGACTAGTTGATTTAAAGGACTCATTTTGGATACGAATCTCTCGACTTTTGATTACCTTTTACATAAAGGAATAGAGATCGAGAAACTAGATACCCTTTTTATTTAAGTAATGACATAATCTAGCTCTTTCACAACTTCCTAAATTTCTTGGCCTTCCCGTCTCTGAGCATTGTCTAAGATTCAGAATGGAACAAGGGGATATGCGTCATGATATACATCTTGCAGTCATGAGAGTCAACTTCAGCCCCAAATGAATCACGGCTAATGCTATCTAGAAATTTGTGCTGCAAGTATTGGTGATGAGACGACCAAGTTAGATTAAACAACTCATACTGCATTGCATCAAGATAGACTAAGGAATGAAGCACATACAGACACAAGCATTGTCATGTCATTTAAACTAAAGTGTTGTTGCTTCATAGAAGTCGTTAAATAAGATGAGAATATCAGTTCATGCATACTGAGTAAATTAGTTTAGATGAGCTAGGATCCTGACCTCCCATAAGTCCCTTACTGAGACAATGACGTCGAATATAACTCCAAGTTCAAGCCAGCTTACTGAGATCATTGAAGCAGTTGAACATCGATTCCAAAGAACAATAGCCAAGCGAATCTCAGGTGCAGAGCTTGATAAGAGACCTGCCCACACCTGTAAGTCACAACTCTTTCTTTTTACTTTGCTTCTCATGGAGCCATTGTAAGTCATGCTGTTCTCTTCTTATGTGCCGAAATAAAATATTAATCTAGCAAAGTGTAGGCGATATAAAGGTACTTATAGTCCTTAAACTTCAAATTTTATGTCAAAAGTGTTTGAAATTTTTAATTTTGTGTGTAATAAAATATCTCTGTCGTTAATTCTGTCAGTTTAACTCTCATGCACGCTGACTAGATTTATAAGGACGGTGGGGTAAATTGGTTTTAAATGGGTTTAGGTTTTTCTTGGTGTTTCTTGTGTAGGTTTAGTTTGTTTTTGCTGGTTTGCATGCCTCACTCATTGACTCGTTCACCAAACACCTAACCCCACACCTAAGAAACACCAGAAAGTTTAAGGATCTAATAAAAACTGTAAACTAAATAAGACGAGTTTGAAGTTTAAATTCATAACTTTGTTATGCTAATACAATGTATAGATGAAGCAAAGAGTTAAAAAGAGAACCTGAAGACAACCATCTTTGCCAGAAACATTAATTTTTCTTCCCTGGAGCCCAAGACTATCTGCGTCCATAATTTAAGTTTCCCTTTTGATATGTGAGCAAATAATAAGTGTTCTTGTTTAAAAGGGGGTATAAGATAAGAAAAGATAGTATAAATAAATTTTGATCACCTTGGTTTACATCAATGACTTCCTTATTGCTTAGAATTTCCAAAGTTTGTGGAGACATGTTTCTCACATCACAACCAATCAACAGAGGGGCCTGCATGCACATTTGGATGAACTCAAAACGAGCACAAAATGAGCATGTTTGATAACCATTTGGGGTTTTATTTTTAGAAAGTAAATCTTATTAGGCTGCTTTTATCTACAAGTTATTTGTTTGTTAAAATTTTCAAATTCTATGGTTATTGTAAAAATGAAACCTTCATTAAAGCCCATATGCTAAAATGGCTTCTGTATTCTTGATAGGTCATGCCACCATTGCCAACTTCCAACATATCTGGATCTGTCCACACACACACATGGTAAGATGGGAATTACAGATCAACTTAGAGAACAAATGGATGAAGTTGAATGGGTTTCAAACACAATCAATCTCATACCATTCCAACCACCAGGTCCTGCATACTCTGCCCACTTATCATTGATATCTGCAATTCTAGTCATGCTTCAACCAAAAAAAAAACAATTTTTTTGAAGTTAATTAAATGCAACATTTTAGGGGTTATTTAGTACAATAATGGGAAGATTTTAGGGCTAGATTTAAACCTAACCTTTCCCATGAATCACTTATATCAATTGTTGTACGCCAACTGTTTCCAACTCTAGGAGCCCATAGTGCTGGATCATCAACGCCCCTAACCACACACCATACTATTTTAATAGATAAAACATTAATTACCATTTAAAAAAGTCAATGGTTCAATCTTAATTGTACAATTTTATAACTAAAAAAGTAACAATTAAGCTTCGGTTAATAAATCATCTGATTTTTAAACCAATATTTCACCCAAAACATAAGAAGAGTAGGAACTAAATTGTAGAAGCCAAATCATTACATGCATACTGAGATTAATGTTTAGAAAGAAACAAAATAGTTACTAAATCCCTATTCAAGTTCCGAGCTTTTCAAGTGTTTTGAAACCGTATGTGGAAGAGAGGATGAATATACCATTCACAAATTGAGTAGAAAATGCTTCGGGCAGTTGAATTTAGGGCATCACGCATAGCTGGGTATCTGAAAATTATAGAAACAATATACAAACAAATCTTCCAATTAATCTATAATCAAAGAAGCTGATAGTGACTAAATGAATTGAGGTTTGAAAGTGAACCTTTTTTGTGGACTGATTCCCATATCATAACAGTTATCATACTTCAAATAATCCACCTCCTGAAAAATGTTTAGATTTTCATAAATTTGTTAGTAACCATTCGATAAACAAAGCTAGGTTATAAGATGGAAATTACTCACCCAAGATGCTAGCACCATTGCATCCAAAAGTTCAAAGCCGAGTGACCCTGGTCTCTGCTGGCAGGTTAATTGCCTTGTTCAACAGTATGGCAAGTTAACGAAACAAGCGATCGAGAGAGAGAGAGAGAAACAAAGACAATATTAAAAAAATTTTAACATCAAAAGATGAGTTAGACATCGGTCATACCCAGCATCGCCATATATTCCAAGCTTCAAGCCTTTCCCATGTACGTAATCAGCAAGGGCTTTAATCCCTGAAGGAAAAGTATTGGGATCAGGAGCCAAGAGAGGAGCCACGAAAACCTGTACAAAGTGGAACCTTAGCATAATTTACTACGATATCATACTAGAAAATCATGTATTCAAACTTTTTGTAACGTCATTTCCTTCATTCTTCAATCAGTATTGATTTCATACTTGTCGGATGTAAAAAAAGAATATTAAAATAATGATATAATCAATTTTTTCGTAACTCAATCGTTTTAAGCTTTTAAAATGACTATGATTTACCATATAATGTTTTTGAAAATGAGACGTTTTTTTGAGATGGTTAATTTCATTAAAAGATTGGTTTCCCTCGTCGAAGGAAAAATGGAAAAGTATTTAGGTCAAAAAACAAAGAGAAGAAAAGGTATTTATGAAACGAGTACCGATAATTTTTTAAAAATTTTATAAAAAAAAGTTTAAGAGCATTTACTAGAATTGTTTTTTAAATAAATTACTAATAATTTTTATCTAAAACTAATATATTATATATTTTAGTTTAAGGGTAGCATTAAAAGATTTGAAAGTGTAAAAATATTTTAATTTTTTTTAAACATGTGTGAATTAAAAATAAAAACGTGCGTTTTAGGACTAAATTTATTATTTTCCTATTAAAATATTTAATTTTTCATTGGAAAAAAATAAAAGGGAGGAGAGATTACCAGAATTCTCCGTTTGTTGGCCCAGCAATCATCTGCCATTGTTTGAAACAACTAAATTTTAAAATATAGCCGACCTAAATTATAAATTTAATCTCTAAAACTTTTATATTTTTTATTTAGTTAAGTCTCTAATTTTTTTTTGAAATATATATTTAATAGATTTACAAATTTAAACTTTCATAAATTCTTAAATTTGCATTATTACTAACTATTTATTTCAAAGTTTATATGCCCCTCAATACAAAAATGGAAAGTTTAAAATTTTAATAAAAATTTTAAATTTTTATTAAATTTGTTAGATACACGTTGAAAGCTTATAATCTAATCGGGACATAAATTGTTCGTGATAAAAGTAGATGATGAAAAATTACCTATGTTGACATATACATAGCCTAACTCTGCCAGTCCCGTGGCAACAAGTGCATCAGCTGTAAAAAAAAAAATAGTTAATGTACTTTTTCTATGAGCCTCCCTCTCTAAAATTTGGAAATATGTTTTTTTTTTTTTTTCGGGCATGAAAAGTAGGGTGATTATTTGCTAATACAAGCATGGTTCTAACCGGTCATAAAATAAGTGTCATGGAAAAAAAGATCAAAAATTCAAATCTTTCCCGATATTGTTAACCTAAAAAGAAGAGAAAATACCGGTTTCTTTGATGACCCTTTCATCTACACTGCAGCCAAAATGGTTCCAACTATTCCATCTGATGAGAAAAAGAAAAGATAGCATAAAAACACTGTTATCAGAAAGAAAAGAGATGAAAGAGAGAGAGAGAGACAGAGAGACCCCATGGGAGGAGTTTTTCCCAAGCCATTGTCGAGCTGCAAAGTTCCATATTTGGAGTTGTTATAAATTTGAAGGTACTTTGATGCAAGAATCGATTTATCGAAGCCATGAAATGCTAGCTTTTCCGTGTGTTCGGTTGCTTCAATGAATAATCTTTTGTGAGAGGTGGATATGGAGAGGAGTAAAATAAGTAAGAACACTGATACCATCCTTACTCTCTTTGCTATCAATGGAAACTCCAATTTCGAAAGGGAGAGATCTCTGGTTCTTACCAAATTCAGAGCCATTAAACTCGTGGGGTTGCATTATCTCTACTTTGAGGCATAAAAGTTGAATCTCCCAACTAATTTCTGCCGCACAAATTAATGCCATTCACCCATTGAGTTCTTGCCAAATGGTTCTTTTCTTCAAGTACGAGCCCACCAAAATTAATAGAATTGCAAAGCATAAATTCACAGAGTTAGATCGGCAGACATGTTGTTCTAATGCCATTTAAAATCGAAGTGTTACTTTTTTCAGATTTTAAATTTTAGTCAACATGAAGATAATCAACATTTTCATTAAATCATTAAGAAATTGATAAAATATTAAACAATGTATCAAATTTTTCAACATTTTTATAAAATCAAGATATTTAATAGTCCTGGAAATTTTCTCCCCTAACGAAACGGCAGCCTACATATTTCTAAGGCTAAAGGAAAGATGTCACAGACACAAACATACACCTGCTGTTGGGATGGAAATTAAGTGTCATAAAGGGGTATGGAATTAACAATCTTAATCTAATTTTCATGCTGCTTTCTCGTTGCCCCTTCCCTATACATATGGAGTATCCAAACAAGAAACTGTAAAAAATCCATTAACTAACTAAATTACCTCCCACGCTCCTAACCTGCAAAATTCTCCCGTAAGTTTCCATATTCATTCTAAAATTCACTTCCATCCCCAAAGAAAACGACCAAACTATAATAGAGTGACTGTAGACATTCCTATGTATTGCTCGTAGAAGCCATATAAAGGTTTCTTCTATACACGAGCAGGAATTCCAGCTCCAGCAGGACGAGGTGCTTGACCTGGCTGGCCAGGCTTTGGCTGATCATCCTGAAACAAACACAGAAACGGGAAAAGGTAACAAACCATCAGAGGCTACTCCAAATATCAGTACTGCCGAATAAAAAAATTATCTGTTGTTAGGAAGTAAACATGCTTAAGTGCCTCAAAACAGACTGACTAACAATCATGAGTGGTACTCACTAACAAGTATAAGATATTAAGTTGATCTTCGACATGAGCATCAATAGCCTTACCAAATAGTTGGTAGCGTCATTAAAATATACATAATCCAAACAAGTAGGAGCTTAACATGTCAAACTGCCAGAAGTGTAGGGGAACCATTGGATCCAAGTGTAATGATGACTGATGGACTATTTCTTAATAGACAGTTATTTGGTAACAAGCATGCAGCAAACAAAGTACCTAATCAAAAGTCTCTCAAGTCTCCGTATTATTTAATCTTTAAGAGTTGTAGCTGGGTCTTTAGAGCTTCACATACTCATCAATGATTATAAAAGAAGCATAAAAGTCGAGATAACATTAAGATGTAAATACTCTTTCTGCTGCCCATCATAAAATTTTGAGCTCATCAAATAATGAGTAAAGATAAACATAATTCATCAAACACACTGTGAACATCGTAACTTCTTAATGAACCAAAGCTATAAATATTTTATGCAAAAACGTCCGTAAAGACTAACCCTGCGTCTGATTCAGTGTTCAGTGTTCGTATGGTTACTTTGTAATGAATCAAAGTAGATACACTTCATCAAATTCATTGTTCATATGGTTATTTTGTTATGAATCAAAGTTTAAAATATTTTATGCAAAGACTAACCCTGCGTCTGATGAAACGCTGTGGTGGTTGCCGATTTCTTCTATCAGTACGAGATCGAACTCTCACAACATGTGAGTGAATGGCACAGGAAACACAGTACTGCATCTTTGCATAAAGCTTAGGAAGAGTGTATTCTGCACAGAGAACAAAGATCTATATCAGACATTGAACAAAAAGATTGTTGTTAAATGAAATAAAGCAACCAAAAGCTAGCAGGAGAGGACAGAACAACTTACGGTCATAGACACAGGCTTCTTGAACATCCCTAACAGCAGCCTGCTCCACAATATTCCTCACGAGAAACCTCTTAATAGCCTTGTCCTATCCTCATCAATCAAAACTCATTTAGTTAGATTTAATCAACTTCAGCTCTTAGCTAAAATAAAATTGAACTTCTCTTGCTCAATAGCGCCAATGGACACTCCAAATTCACTCCGTCCAAAACTATAGTGTGGTTAGGAACCCGTTATATTTTTTAGAAACTTACAGTTATTCTTTTAACCTTTTCAAGAGGTGTAATGACTTCTAGGCCTTAAAGCATTTTCAGGGAAGCGTAAAATTCCTCTACGAGAATAAACCTCTTAAGGTCCAAAGAAGACATAAGTCTAGAGGCTAAAAGTTCGAATCTTGTCACCAGGCAAGCCTCAAGCCTAATAAAGCATTGAGTTTTGGAATGCTTACGGGAATTCCATTTTTTAAACAGAAAAAAAAAAAACTATACCTATAAAATGTTCTGAAAAAAATGCTATCAATGTGTTTCATTGGAAAGAAATATAAAATGTAGCTAAATGTCAAAGTCTAGCTCTTGAACTTAGAAAAAAAAAACACCTAAACAATCTTTTAACAACAATACAAATACAAACTCATATAGATATTAACATTCTACATTAAAAAAAAAAAAAAAAACATATCCCCAGAACATGGCGGATACTCATCTCTCGAAATTTCTAGATCAATCAAATCACAAGTACTCCAGCAATACTAGCAATCAAGCCTCAAAACAAAGACTAATTAAAAAGAAAATGACCGAATTCCGTAAAGGAAACATTAGCACAACGTATAGATTTGACCGCTGCCATTAAACTAAAAAATGCACGCAAAAATCACGCAGAAAGATGAGTAAAACAATAACCTTGGGGCAGCATTTGCCACAGTTGGAGCACCTGATGAACTTAACGTGTCCACGTCCGTGCTTGTTACGTCCACCGTTCCTGCGCTTGAAAGTCTGGCAGAACCAAAAGCAGAAAAAAGATGAAGGGAGAACGATTTAGAACATGAAGATTCAGAGGAAAAGGTGACGGGCTAATGATCTTACCATTGTTTCAAAGCTGCAGATCTTCTTTCAGACGAAGCAGAGAGAGAGAGAGAGAGAGAGAGAGAAAATGCAACGATTAGGGTTTTTCGGTGGGCAAATGCCGATTACGAAAGTCAAGAGGTCTGACCGGTAAACGCTTTATATAGATCTCCGGTCCCGCCGAGCCAAACCACCGAGAAGAGAAAAATTGCAAAAAGACCCCTCCAACTATATAGATTTGTACAATGACGCCCTCAAATATTCAATTTGATCTCATTTATCTCGAATTAATAAAAATTTACAATTTAAATATTTCAAAATACATAAACTATAAGAATTTTAAGAATGTAAACAACTTACCCATTTGGATCGCAAATAATGTTTGGGATTAAATGTTTGTATTTTTTCTACCAAACTTGCATATAGAAATTAAAATTAAATACTAACATATAAAATATTAAAATAGCATTTTAAATTGTAAATAACGATGAGTTTTAAAAATTAAAAACTTTGTAAAACCAAAAATTCATTACAAAACTCACAAACACGTCTAATTGATCAAATTATTAGATCGTTGTAAATAGTCCGATATAGATTCAACATAATGTAGCAGACAGTTTTACGCAGTTGAATAATTGTCTGATCAAGAAAGCATTTCCAAACATTAAACATACTGAGAAAAGCTACCAGAGATAGATTGATGATTGAGACGAGTCAAGGACGCACTTATACCCATTGGAGAGAGGAGCCAAAGTTTACTCTAATAACCCCTTTAAGAGTGTTTAATAAGAAGGCATGACTGAGTTCAGATGAAAGCAACACAAAGACTTTAAATGTCCAAGGTGAATCATTGGTTGATTGATTGATACCATTACCATTCCAAGGCAGCAGACTGCACTATATAGTTAGTTCTTGAGCAGTTCATTTGCCGTCTCCAACCAAACATTGTAAATATCAGAAGAATAAAGGACAAAGTGTACCTGCAAATAATGTAGATTACGTCATTGCAAATAATGCCAAGTGTTCCGTTCAGAGATTGTTTATGCTACTTGCAAATTATTCCTTGATGTCTCATCGATAATACTTTTGGCAAAGAGACAGTCCACAAGACAATCCATAATCCATCGATATTGTGAGATCCCAAATCAGGCAATCCATAATTCATCAATACTGTGAGATCCCAAATCAGACCATCCATAATCCATCAATACTGTGAGATCCCAAATCAGACCATCCAGAATCTATCAATACTGTGAGATCCCAAATCAGTTGGAAAAGGGAACAAAACATTTTTTATAAGGATATGAAAACCTCTAGCTATCAGATGTGTTTTAAAAACCAATAAGAGAAGCTCGAAAGTGAAAGCCTAAAAAGGACAATATCGGCTAGAAGTGGACTTGAGTTGTTATTTGTAATGAACACACATCTTTGCAAACAACAAGAATGGCATCCAAGACTTGTCCGAATTTCAAAGCATTTTCTCAAAGAATTTGGTCCAATCGCTTAATGGGGGCACAGTCTAGTTTTCATTGTCAAAAAAGTTCCCAAACTCAAAAGGGTCCTCTCGAGGTTACTAGTAGTCAGCAACCTATGATGCCTCATCTTATTGATCACTCTCTGTTAGAAGGAGTGCCACCGAACTTCAAAAGTGGCTCGAGTAAAGCTAAGAAAGTCTCAAACACTTGAAAGAATGAGCAGAAAGCAGATCAGCATGCAATAGAAGAAGGAACTACAAGAAAACCCATTGACAGGACAGTGCCCCCAAAGATGATAATTCATCTCCTAGGGCTAACCGAAAACTTCCCAATCAAAGATAAGAGGTCGGCGCTAAAGAGGACCGTGATGGAATAATCTAAACATGTCAAAAATACTTTAGGAACATATTCACATACTGTAACAAAAAGAAGGATACATTCCCTAAGTACCATAGAACAATGCCTTACCTCTTTCAAGCCATTGGAAAACTCTTTAACGGTAGATAAGGCTATTGTGGCAGCTTCATCAAAAGGATATCTGCAAGTGTATAATAAAAATCACTAAACAAATATTTTCAAGAGGAATCTGGATTAATCCATCATTAACCAACTAATTTTTTATAATAGAAAAATGGTATAAACTAACACACACACAAACCCATGCCATTCGAAAACTAAATCAAGAGGAACCTGATCAATCAATTAGGGAACTACTGATTTTTTATAATTAAAAAACGGTATAAAGCTAACAAATACTGAAATTTCTAAATCAATATGATAACTTACCGATATACACCGCAGGATATGGCGGGAAAGGCAATATATTGAATGTTATTCTCCTTTGCCACAGCCAAGGAATTTCTAAATCAATATGGCAATAAAAAAAAGATAAGTCCTGAATGGTAAATCAAAATGAAAAGGGAAGTGCAATTACATAACAAGAACCTATATGCGCTTCTAAGTAAGGCCTGGGGGTTACTATTGACGTTGTAGATAGGTCCAACGGTGTGGATTACATGAGATGCTGGCAACCGAAAACCTCTGCAATTGAAGATCACATTAGCATCTACAAACAAAACTAATGGTCGTGATCAGTTACTGAACTAAAAGAGCCTACGGAGTAATCCTAGCTTCTCCAGTTGGACAACGGATTCCAGGTTGGACTTCTTGGACAGAATAACACGCTTGCACGAGATCAGGTCCAGCAGCATTATGTATCGCTACAAAACGATGAGGAAAGAATATTCAAGATGGCAAGTTCGTGTAACAAGTTATAAAACTAAAACACAGTTGAAACTCCATACCTCCATCAGCACCACCACCTCCAAGCATTACTTCATTAGCTGGATTAACCTAAATAAGATTTAAGCCAAAGAAACCAAAGTTTAATAGATTTCATGGGATTGGAAACTCTGAAAAATAAGAAAATACAGGACAAAACATAGGGATCTTTCTTACCGATACAGAAAAATTAGTAATAGTTTTGTAATTTTTAAGTTTGAGTTTGTTAATGTGACGGCCCAAGCTCACCGCTAGCAGACATTGTCCTCTTTGGGCTTTCCCTTTCGGGCTTCCCCTCAAGGTTTTTAAAACGCGTCTGCTATGAAGAGATTTCCACATCCTTATAAAGAATGTTTCGTTCTCTTCCCCAACCGATGTGGGATCTCACAATTAATTTACTTAGTAAGTGGAGTTAAATCTTCTATACATATAGATTTCGTCTACAAACTGAATATGCGAAATGTGAACCAAATCCTGCCCGACCTTAAACCCCTCAATCACCCCATCCACTCTTTTCTCCACACCTGACAACACTAATCTACTTAGGTCATGAACCACCAAGACAAAAAGAAAAGGTCACCTTGCCTTAAACCCACAAGGTAGTTGATTAGTTTGATAAGCTACTTCTTTATCTTCTTTCTTAGAGCAATGGTTTAGTTTATAATGCAACCACTTTTTGGAGTCAATATATATATATATATATTGGGGAAGCAATTCCTACAGCATCTACCTAAATCTGTACAAGTCCCCAATCATTGATGATTCTAGATACCTCCAGGTCGCGAAACATAGCAATGGGGAAGCAATTCCTACGGCATCTACCCATTTCTTACATAACTACAAACTTAAAGCGATTCATCAAAAACAAACCATTCCATCATTTGAACAAAATATGGTTTTGATCATTACTCAAAAACACAGGAGCTTTCAACCGATTACTTCCCACCACCCTTTCCAGTACGCAAATAAGTATAAACCCTAAATAAAAATAGTCGATTCTGAGCAAAAATAGAAAGATCACCGACAATGGCATCAGAAGAACCATCGATGAACCACTTTGTGATGTCACCTTTCTGAATAACGCAGGCGGTTGAGGGAGACACTTTGAAGCGAACCACTCCACTGCCCGATCCATTAGACATTGCCATGGCCAAAATTTTGGCTGTTGATCGTCGGAGAGGAAGCGAAAACGAGAGATTTGAAGAGACGGTGAAGGACTGCAATTGCGACGGCGACACCCGGCGGAAAATCGAGCTGCCCACTGCTACACTGTTCCGCCAAACCGTGCTTGTCATCAGACCGTGCGCCAGGGTGAAATAGAACCTTACGGAACTCCCAATTTTTTTTTCCAATTACAATTCTTTTTAGAACACTTTTTCTCACAATTTAGTTAAATTATATTTTAATTCAGAGTAAATGACTAAAATATCCTCGCATTGCCATTGGATTTTGTAACCACTATTAGTCCAACAACAACCTATAGTGGTCGACTGATCATAATGTTTTGTGATTTTATAGCGTGAACTTGGAAAAGATCAAAATATGTCATTTACAATAATAATAATCATTATCGTTATATGTATCATATCATATCATATATAAATTTGAAAGCCTAGCGGGTGCCAGATTATAACACCACAGCAACAAAGGTGCCATTATTATGGCCATTTTCAAACACAACTCCCTCCATAATCCCTCCCTATCTCTACCATCATAATCCCCACCACTCTCCCAACACCTCTTTAGAACAACACCACACAATCAAGCTAAAAAAAAAAACACCAAATCGAAATGTTCTTTCTTTTTCAATAAAAACTTGAAAAAGAAAGCGAAATTCTCCGACTTTCGGTCCTCGATCTTCGATCTCGTTCTCTTTGTTTGTGTTTGTGTGTTTGTTTTTGAAGTAGTAGTTATAATAGTGATTGGGTGTTTAAAATTGAGGGCCTTCATAGGTCCGACCAAACTGCCAATTGGAAGGGACGAGATTATAGGCCGTGAGAGTGCGGCCATCGCTGAGGGTGACCTGAAAGGAGAGGCCTTGACCGTTGAGATAGTTGTTGCTTTGCCAGTTTTGACCCCAATTTCTAGACATCGCTTGCCATCCAGTTCGAGATCCCTTTATCGACACGGCGTGGACGTCACCAGCGCCACCCACGTTCGTGATCAAAACAAGGTTAAAGTAGGAGTGGCCGTTAATTGTGAACCTCACCCCACCTTTCTTCATGCATGGCACTCTGTTGAAAAAGTTCATCATTCAACAATTTTGGTCCTTACACATTAAAATTTTTTTAAGTTAATTAAAATCCGGCATCGAAATTAATAACTTAAATTATTTATCTTTTATGAAAGTTTAAACTCAACGGTTAAGACTTTAGTAATAGTAGAAAAGGGGTCGGGGAAAAATTTACCTCCGAAAGGAGACGGGGACAATTCCGGCGCGGTATTGAGCGATCTGAAGGAAGGCAGGCTCAGCCATATCGAAGTGCTGGAGAGGAGGGTTGCACCAGCCGCCGTTGTTGTTGGGGAGGGCAAAGTTGGGGGGGCAGAAGTTGGTGGCGGTGACCCTAATGGTTCCGGGCAGGCACCATTTGGGATCATTTGTGCAAGTCATTTCGAAGCAAGCCCCACAGCTGAGGCCGTTGTTGAACAGCGCCGTGCTTAGCGCCACCGTGTTGGTGCCATACCCTTGGCTGTACAAGTTCCCATACCCACAAGCTCCACCTACATTTAATTATAATCCTCGTAATCTCGCTACAAAAGCTTATTTTAATCTAACCACGTTGTAAGTTCTAATATAATTTTACCATGTAGTTGTAAAAAATTTCTTATTACACTAGTTCAGTTTAAAAATTGAAAACGTCTATCTTCTCTCTTCTTTTGTTTCCTATCTATCAAACAACGTTTAATAGTGGGCAGTTAGAGATTACCGCCCCGATTCCACTCGTAAAAATAAGTATCTCTACCTACCTGGTCGACAGTTGGTTGAAATTTTGAAGGATGGTTTAATTCAATTCACTATAGAATATCCAAACACAGAGACAAAAAGGTAAACATTTTAAACTACTAAGGACCAGGTGGAAGAAAACCATGTACTAAACCATTTACGTGGGTTTTAAGTATACCAAGACATACCCATAGTACCAGACGCGTCACCGCCACCGTAAAAGGTGGCATGGCCGCTCTGCCAGCCGCCGTAGTCGGCAAAGGTGGAGCGGAGGAAGAGGAAGAAGAGAGGAAGGAGGGAAAATGGCGAGTAAAAGGCCATAGGGTTGGTTTAAAAGTGTAGTGAAGAGTGGGGTTTGTGGGTTAGAAGGGAAGAGGAGGAGATTTATAGAGAAGGATTGGGGAAGAGGGCATGAAAGAGAAGAGATTGTGAGTGATTTAGGAGAGGGTTCGTAAGAGCACATGGAAATGTTTGGGATAAGCTCTCAAAGCTGCTAACAAACTTAGGCCCCACTCCCACATGGCTCCTTTCTCCTTGCGAACAAATTGGAAAGACGGTGATCAAGAGACCTCTAGTCTTAACCCTTTTCATTATCCGACTTCTACTTCCTCTTTTAATTAAAACATTTAATGTGCCAAATTAAGCTTAAATTGACCCAAAGTAACGACACTCATAGTGAAGAAAAAGTGTAGGTTAGCCTCACTTTGGTCGTTATGAATTCGAGCTCGTACATCAAACAAGTTGAAGTTTATCTTGAACTCTTGATTTTGAGTTCAATAACAAGTGGGGTTGTCAATTCAAACCTTATTTTTTAGTTTAGAATGTCTATGAGACGGGTGGAGACAAAAGGGAAAATCTTTTTTGTTACCGTCATGACTACCTATTTCAATTTATTCGACATCTGATGCTCTGCATCTTTACATACAGTGCATCTTTACATACATACCTACTTTTCTTTAATTATTTTTAAGAGTAAATACTATTTTTACAAATTAACATTTTATTATAGGTTAACTCTTAATTCCATTATTATTATTTTTTTTTTATAAAACTCATTTCGTACATAGATTAAATAAACAAAGAAAAACAGATAATAACTAATAAATAAATAAAAGGTCATATGTATGTGTCGGTTCCCATGAAATAAAAACATGTTGGGTTTGGTACTAGTTTAATATCAGCAAGCTCACTTTATGAGCTTTACATTGTGATTGAATAAAGAAAGAGGAGTATAATGGGAAGGAGCGAGGTTTAGGATCCAGAATAAATGAAGTTTTCCGAAAAAACCTGCTAGTTCTGTAATATAATTAATTCACGTCTCTGATATTATCGATAGATATCGATAAAATCGATAAATACTTTTATGAACAATTCCATTTAGAAGTTCGATCTCTTCTCCGGATGAACCGTCCATGACCAGAACAGGAGAGAATACACGTTACACCACGATTTTGGTGGCTCAGATAATCTAGGAAACATAAATATACAAATAATTTTAAAATACAGAAGTTATTATTGATTAAAAATATAAAGAAAAAAAAATACAATTAGAGATTTGGTGATTAAGAAGTTTCATAAACAGGACTTTTTCAAGTTACGTACGACTGACACACAACCCAACGGCTTCTTAGCCAGAAGTTATCAAAGTAGAATTTGGAAATGTGACGGAGTTTAGTGGGTCACCCAATTATCTCCCGCTGTAGCAAGTGATTTATGATTGACCCACATATGTACCGTAGTTTGTTCAAGCATGAAGTTGCTCTACTCATATGTACGATGATACTATACACCAGCTCTAGAGTGTCACCAACTGACTCTAGCAACAATGAGTCGTTTTTGACCGGTTTGAACGGGGTACTAGCTAGGTATTAGGTTGTTTGTATTCTTTTTTCTTCTTGGAGACCATAATTTAATTTGTCATTTGTTTTGAAATGTCTCACTAAGATTTTTCTTACAACAAAATCTTTGACTGTCACTTTATGAATTTTTGTTATGGTTTTTGCTTTTTATTTAATTTTTTTTATCTTCTCCAAACACGAGTTTAAGATAGTTAACACGAACATATTTTAATTCGTTAATGCATACGTCATCGGCCAAAAATTCAAAACTTTACAAAACTTTAAATCACAATATTCGAAGAATAAACTTAATATTGGTAATTAATTCAGCATTTAAGATATTATTTAGTCGATTATAACATATGATTCTGTATTAATGTCCAATCAATTCATGGTTGATAGATTTGCACGTTGTAACAAAGAGAGTGAAGAGATGTGTTGGATGTGACCCTTCACCAAAATAGATTGATCGATGAATTCAATGAAATCTTATAACGATATATTGTTTGAACGATACGTCCTAAATCGGATCCATACAAATAAGATACACGTAAATTTTTGACTAGTTTGATAATCAACCTTAAAACGAGCAATTGTTAGTGTCACGTTGAGATATGGTGTTCGTATAATTGATCTTAAAATAAAGAGAGAAACGTTGAAAAAGGTAAAGATGTTAAGAGAACACGTAGACATTGTTCGAAAATGAATGAATAAATGAATGAAAAGGAAGGAAGTGGTCTCCAAATTGTACAAAAATGTTAATAAGTAATTAAATGCGAGACACCGAATCATCGAGCAACGTATGAATACGACTGTTTGGCAAACATCCATTTATGGTGTTCCAGAATGCTCTTTTCATAATCTTTTACCAAAACAATTAAATTCTTTTATACAAAATGGTAGAAATTATTGCAAACCGTTTAAGTAGATATTGTCTGTTTTGGTTCGTTATGTATTGTCGTCAGCCTCACGATTTTAAAATGCGTCTATTAGGGAGAGATTTCTACACCCTTTGTAAGAAATGATTCGTTCCCTTCTCCAACCGATGTGAGATCTCACAATCTACTCCCTTGAGGGGCTAGCGTCCTTGCTGACGTAACTGACTTTGATACCATTTGTAACAGTCCAAGTTCACCGCTAGCAAATATTGTCCGCTTTGACCTGTTACATATCGTCGTCAACTTCATGATTTTAAAACGGTCTATTAAAGAGAGGTTTCTAGACCCTTGTAAGGAATAATTTGTTCTCTTCTCCAACCGATGTAGGATCTCACAATCCACCCCTCTTGGTGGCCTAGCGTCCTCGCTAGCACATCGCCCGATTACTAGTTTTTGTACCATTTGTAACAACTCAAATTCATCACTAGCAGATATTGTTCGTTTTGATCCGTTACGTATCGTCGTTGGCCTCACGGTTATAAACCGCGTCGGCTAAGAATAAGTTTCCACACCTTTACAAGGAATGATTTATTCCCCTCTCCAACCAATATGAGATCTCCTAGAATAGATAATAAACACATTCAAAGTTGGTATAGTATATTTATTCAGAAGTTATCTCAAACTCACTCTTAGAACCGTCACAGTCTGAGAAAATTGGTGATTAATACAATGGGCCTAAGAAGAAGCAGCCACAAATGACAGTCACATGAGCTTTTCCCTAAGATGCAGATTCAAGGGGTGTTGGATTGCAGCCCTACCATGTGGCCTTTAATGGCATACCCACGAGGGGCCCCATGAGCCTTGAAATGTGGACAATTTACTTATTTTGCTAGCCCCACCTACCTGTATATACATACACACATACAAGGATCACAAATAACCTCTTCTGGCTGAGTCTGTACAAAAAAAAGATGCAAATGAACAACAGAGAGCATCGAAGACAAAATCATCATAATCATCATTGTTGTTTTAGCTTCCATTCAGAGAAGAGAAAAGAAACAAAAAATGGTCAATTCTCAGGATCTTTGAGTATTCAAACAAATCTATAGCTGCAGCTAGGGACCAGGCTATGAGTTTGAATAATAAAGAATGAACAGAAGAACAAGAATTTTCCTTTACCAGAAAGATCAATGTTATGGATGACATGAAATGGGATTATGAACAAAATGACATACAAATTTGGATAAAAATTATGAACAAAAAGCCACCTTTTTACTGGGTTAAAATGTGCTGCTGCTTTCACTGACGGATATGGAGGAGCCTTCTGGCTTCATTTCCGTGCCTCTGCTATCGATATCGATATCGAGACCCTGCAATCGGCTAATAGGATCCTGTTGAAGAATTTGTATCAAGGCATGTGGCTGATGGGATGCAACAAACAGAGACTGGTTCGGATACGGTAGACTCGAATGGAACGGATGAATTTGGGGCAGGTTGTGTTGCCCAGGTTGTGGTTGGTGTGAAAAGCAAGATTGGGGAAATGAAACTTGAGGCATACCGAAGTTATACGAATCTGTAGCTGTTATTACTTCTCCGGTCGCGATCTTGAACCGTTCGAATTCCTTTTCCAAAGCTTCATTTAGAGCTGTATATTAAGAAAAATAAGGAAAGTATCACTATAATGCACAATAAAAGCTGGTCCAAAGGCAAGACTTCTCCTGCAACCTAGGGTGAAGGTGAAGTATCAGGGAGACCAAATTAATGTGCAAATATTGATATCAGCTCTTCAATTCAAACATTTATTCAAGATCATCAAAATCTGGATAAGGCTCTAAGTAGGTGAATTTAAATCAGACCCTACTTGAACACGTAACAGTTTTGAATATAGAAACTGGATATCACATTATTCATGGATATCTAAAAGCTAAACAAAGAGGTTCAGGTCAATATTAACACATAGACAGGGTATATGTGGATACATACCGTCGCGTAGACGTGCTTGCTGTTCCATAGCTTGTAAACGAAGTTTGAGCTCTGAGTTTTCGGTTGAAAGCTCGTTCGTATCTCTCTGGTAGGAAAAACATGAAGAAAAGATGAAATAGTGAAAGGAAAAGATTTTCATTTTGTTTCATTTTCCTATAGCTTTAGCACAAAAGCTTCAATTCAACAAAGATAGAACAAACAACTAATGGATTCGTTTAGCAAATCAATTACATGTCTTACCAAAAAAAAGCTAAGAAATCTCATTGCAAGGGGCGTCTAGTGTTCCTAATGAACTGCAGAAGCAAATTTTATGACCCTTGATCATTGTAAGAGCCTAAAATGAGGTTGGTGAAAAATTAAACCTGGTACATTGTGAGCTGTGCAGAAAGAGCTGTTGCTTCGGTCTTAAGCCTTTGAACTTTTCTCTCAAGTTCGATTATGTAGCGAGCTTTCCTCTCTTTTGACCGAGCAGCAGACTGTCTGTTCGCTAAAATCCTGCAAATGAAGTACTAAATGTTAGGAATCGCGAACCTTCACAACAATAGTATGATATTGTTCACTTTGAGCATAAGCTGCCTCATGGCTTTCCTTTTGGTTTCCCCAAAAAGACTTGTACTAATGGAGATAGTACTTCTTACTTATAAACTCATGATCATCCTCTTAATTAGTCAACGTGGGACTCCCT